TTGTCCGGTGCCTGACGGATAATCGACGTTCCACTGTAATTGACTTGCTCCAACTCAAAACGATATCGTATGATTAAGCTATGTTTAAAACGGTAAAAATACTAATTGCAAGGCAATAGAAATCATAATATAAAAAATATGTCATTGACGAAATATGGGCTCAAGTAAAAAGTGAAGTGGGCAGACAAAATAAAACTTTTAAATTGAAGAACGTCAAACAACTTTTATGGACCAATGTTGTAAATCACATAAAAAAGGAACAAATATTAAGGACTATTGATAATACTATTAACCAAAAATGTGAATTTATAGTCATTCCAATAGAACCGGACAACAAATCTGACACAGCAGAAGAGGAAGAGATGGAAATCCATAATTTGTACGTAAATCAATAGGTATTATATTTATGAACATTGCTAGCATTGTAACGAAAATATTTTGCCTACCACTTGGGGCATTAATACAGGGGTAGAAAATTGGTGGAAGAAACTATTGGGGTGGAGATAGGGCAAGCAAAATAATCGCTACTTGTGCGAACGGCACTCAGGGTTTGGTAGGAGAGCTGGGGTCGTGGATAAGTAAAAGATAAGGGGGGTGGAATGGGACTACAAAACTGGAACTACAAAAAAATGAAATAAAGGGGTCATTAATCTCTTAAGATAAACAAAATAAAAATAAACAAGAAACACCTCAAGGAATTTAATATAGGGCGCCACTAGAGGTGCCTAATTATGCCTATTATAACCACTAGTTGTAGCTAGGGAGATAATTAGAAAAAAAAATTTAAAACATAAAAAACACATCTTTTTCAAATAAAAATCAAAAAAGGTTTAGCTCAAAAAAATAATAAATAAAATGTTAAGACAACAAAATTTAACATTTATTTATGTGTCACCACAAACAGTTACAAAATGGAGAAATACAAAATACAAAAACTTATGTGTCATCCGCTTACAAACTCAAGGAGTTGGAGATACTACATAAAACTACAAAATTAATATGGAGGTAAACCTTGTTTAAAAATAAAACAAACTAATAACCAAAAAAAATAATAAAAAACGAGCCATAAGTTAACATTAAATTTAAAAAAAAAACTAAACACACAAATTGACAGCTCAACTCAAAACCTAAAATTTACAATTTTAAATGTAACGAAAGCAATTATTATTTCATAAAAAAAATTGTCTGTCTTTAATTTGAAATTTGAACACAAAAAAACAGTTACCTTGATTTACATATTTCCACTTTACAAAAAGAACTTGTTATATCTCTGTAGCATTCATCCGGAGATCAGCAGCAAACACATCCATTTGGGGCCGAAACAGGAACAGGACATCCATTGGGGCCGGAAAACACCAGGGAAAACGGGAACTCTCAACAAAAACATGAACCCTCCAACAGGAACCAGACTTTTCAAAAATCTCGAAATATCGAGCGAAAACTTCACTACTACCGGCAAATTATTGCCGGTCACTTCATACTGGACAAAATACATCACTACTGCTACCCATTTCCACCACAATCAACGAAAAAACAGAAAATTTTACAGACTCGACATGAATTTGGATATAACGCTGAACCGCTCTTGCTCGCGGTTCCAACGAGAGTGAAGAAATTCTATTAAAATTGAAAGCATACATACAAACGCTGACATAACAAGACACCACGAAACGACACATCCTTTTGCGACGCATAAACATGAAAAGAGATTGCCGAAGTAAAATAAACAACTCTCAAATGGTTTTATTACTCGGCGACGAAACACTTTTGGGTACTTTGAAAGATACGAACTAACAAACACGGGAGAATTCCTCGTTTTATTTTTTTAAAATATATAAGGAGTTTTTAATATATTTTTTTATACCAGGAGGTTTCAATATACTCAAAAGAATCAATGAAATTGAAAATGCTACAGCATTAATTTTGTTTATCATATAAATTTGTTCTATTTAATTCTCCAAAACTGCATCATTAATTGCTTACTTGTTAGGTATAATATAATCAATAAGTTTGTATGCTATTACTATAAGAGCAGGGTGAACTCTTTAAAAAATAATATGTTAAACTACATTTTATTAGGAGAGGAGATTATTTTTAGTGTTTCCCGTTTGACCATATAACCTGCTGTTTGCTGATTAGTGTAAATTAGCCATTATAATGAGGTGCCAATTGCAAACATATAACCTATAACTTGATTTACTTACTGTGTGAAGTTGTTTAGAAATAGACCAAAAAAGCCGATGAGGTCACGGAGAATATGCTCATTTAACAGGATAGACTTTTAGACAAGGTGAACTGAATAATGAAAAAAGTAACTAATGATTGGATAGATAAAGAATAAAAAAAACACTCAAACTCTGGGTAAAAACAAAAAAATTATTGCGAGATACTGCCGAGGAAAAATAACGACGAAGACTAGAGATAATAAAGGAAAAGGACCGTAATAAACAAAAACACAAAATTAGATTTATAAGCAAGAAATGTGTCATCAGTAAGAGGTAAGAATCCGTTTCAATATATACTTAAACATAATTCGAATTTTGAAAATTACTTGAGATGCCAAGAGACCATAGCAACCGGTAAAAAAAAACTAAAAGCAATAGCCAAACAAAGTTGGAAAAATTTTGTCTTCGCCTTAAAATACTCCATCATCAACATTATGCAATCAAGCCAGGAAAATAAACAAAAATCCAATATCGAACACAAAATGCTTTAACAGTACATTAGAGAAACAATTTTTTGATCAAATAACACCGTCATCTGGTATACCACGGGAAATTAAAATACATTATACAAATAATGAAAAGGAATTTTTACTAGAATCATTTAATATTACTGAATTAGAGTATGCACTCAAAAACAGAAATAATTAAAGTTCGGGATTGGATAATATTAAATATTCTATGATTCAGTTTCTTCCAAAAATTGCTAAACTATTTTTGTTGGATATACTCAATGACATAATTATCAATAATTCAGCTATTCATAAATTTAAAGATGTAATTATTATTCCTATTCTCAATCCAGGTAAAAATCCCAATTTATTCGAGTCATACAGACTCATTTCCCTGATGTCTTGTTTACTAAAAACATTAGAACGATTGATAAAACATAGACTGGAAAGATGGTTAGATAAGAATAAATTAATTCCAGACCTTGAATTTGGATACAAAAAAGGATTCAGTACTATAGATGCTCTTGCTACATTAGTAACGGACATTTAGGATACATTTTCCAATAATACACATCTACCTACAATATGTATATGGACATAGAAAGTGCTTATAATAACGTTTGTCTGGACATCTTTACATTTATATTCCACATGACGTCTTTCAATAACTAAATTATAACAAAGGTGTGATATAGTATTTATTAACATGATATGTACATTAGCTTAATAAGGAATAATTATATTATTATTAATTTTATAATAATCATGTTTCACTAATTGACGTATTTAAATTTTTTAAATAAACTTATGTTGATTGAGACTGGCTGGGTGACAATAATTGTTCAAGCCAAGAAAAAAAAAATTATAGAAAAAATGATTAAAAATTTTCATATAACAGTTACATTAGTGAAAACCATTCTTAAATTTTACACTTGCAGAAAAATTTATTTGATATCAAATAATAGTAAACGTACAGGTCCCCGATATAACAACCTAGGACTTCCACAAGGGTTAGTTTTAAGCCCTTTATTATTTAATCTATATACATCTGATTTGCACAATGTCTCTCTAGTAAATAACAGTTTTATTTTCTTATATATTTGTCTTCCAAAACATACGAAAACCAATTTCTAAAACTTGGTGGGGAGCCGATGGCGAAACTGTGTTACTTTTTTATCGATCGTACATAAGATCAATCATAGATTAAGGATGTGTTTTGTATGATTCAGTAGCTAAGTATAACGTGGGGAAAATAGACGTGTTTCAAAATACAATATTACGTATTTGCCTAGATACTATGAAATCAACTCCAACCAATTCGTTATATGTTGTAGCACTCGAATTTTCACTCAAATATAGAAGAGAATATATTAGTCAGAAATTTCTGATTATTGTTCGTCATAGCAACCTTTCTCTTTACTGCAGTACCTACTGAGTATCTACTGAGTATGTAGATATATTAGCCCAGAAAGCCATTAGTTTTGGTGCGAAAACAGATTATAAACTCTGCATATCAGATGTGAATATTATGAATATAGTCAACACTCTATATCATAATATGCACTTATACAACCCTCAATCCCGAATGAATTTTGGTTTGAAAATTACTCTGTTCCACGTAGATACATTAGGTACATCTATTATCAGAATGAAATCAGGACACGCATGTTATCTGGCTCATCTGACAAAACTTAAAATTTACGTGAAGTTTGTCAAAAAAAAGCAGATTTAAACCACATTTTCTTTAAATGTACAAAATATATACAACAAACTGACGACTTAATAAAAAATTTCCTTCCACCCTATAACATTTTTACCTTTTATCATCAAATAACAAGATTTTATATAACTACTGAAGACAATTTATTTCGAAAAGTAACCTCAATTTGTAAGTCCAGTTAAAAAAATAGTATAAAAAGGTTTTTTTATAACCTTTGTTTAATCCCATTTTATTTAAACCTACTATCAGTTTGTGTTTTTAATCTAATGTCTTAATGGGTCCCTAGGCGAGAAGCGAGTAACCATGTTTGTTCCATGGATAACCAAATAACCAATAATAAATATATTGTGATAATTATTTTCTTTTATTTTTTTACGAAGAACTTAAAAAAGTTGTGACTGGCTGAATGACAATAACAAAAGTAAGAAATGAAATAGACAAAAACAAATTAAAAACAGTACTATTTGCTTTTTGTACTAAATCATAATTGATAACAAAATTTTATAGACAGTATATAGATAAGTATATAGATATAACCAGTAAGTTGTTCTTGTGTCTATGATATAAAATAGAAACCAACACCCAAAATATAAATTAAATACTCACCTAACTTTTTGTGTTTAATAACATTAACAAAATATTACTATAATTATATCATATGTCTAACTAAATAAGAACGATTGAAATGTAAACAACAATGGTGATTTTGGTTTTAAAAATTCTTTATCTTATCTCATTGTAATCCATACATTGACCTACGAGATATACGTAACTCAAGGTTGCCTATTATGCATATTTTATATTATAGATTTCATAAAAATATAAAAACTAAATTAATATTAAATTCTTTTAAATAAAGACATTGGTGAAAAAAAAAAACATCATTGCTATTTTAGCCTTATTATGTTAATATGACTCTAATGAACCAAATCATTTACAGCTATGACATTCGTCGTCTTTTTGGGCTTTTACTTCGATCTGTGTTCTCTGTGATAGTTCTGTTAACATAAAGAATGCACATATCGCACATTGAAAACTATAGATCATTAACTGCAAAACATATCTTTCTGACATAATGGAAATATATTTGAAAAAATTTCTACTTTTAAGATATTAAATGTTAAACTGAAAATTTTGAAAATAAAGTTAATCAATTTTAGGGAACTTTAATCCCAAATAATACAATTTTATTACAGACAAAAAAAAACAGTACGTAATGAAAATTACAAGCTACACAGAAAATGAAATCGTATCATCAGACAATACATCATACTTATACTTATACATATCGTAGAAGATCCTGCGTGGACGCCGTATTTGTACTAGGACTAATCACAGAAAAGGCCATCGAGTACAATAAACCAATATCTATGTTTTATAGACCTGAAAAAGGCTTTTGATCTCATCCAAGTCGAATACGTCTTACACTTACTGTATAAAAGAAACATAGCAATCAATATTATACAAACCATCGACAACATTTTTACTTCCATAATCGAATAAAGGCAAAGATGAATGGTAAACTAACACTGTATACCAGTACAAAGGAGAGTCAGACAGTGTTACTCGTTAAGCCCACTTCCCTTCAATATAATAATGGACGAAATAATACAAGCAGTTACGTAAATGTCATGGTTACAGAATGGGAAATAAAGAAATACAAATATTATGTTACACAGACTACGCCGCATTAACCCTTTCAGGCTTAGTGGCTCCACGTGGAACCACCTTTAAACAAATTTTTTCCTACTGCCCGAGTAATCGTACGCTGGGACCACCAGACGGAATGCGATATAGACGTCGTGTATTTCACTTCCCACGCGATAACAAAATTCCAAGAGCAGTTGTGCCCATTCTACATAATACATTTGGCGCTCTCACAAGTGAATGCTAGTGAGGTTATGTATTGTTGTAAATAAACAAACATTCTTCTACCAATAAAAGGTATGTATTATGTTAATTTATTGATAAATAAATATATTTATGTATTCCTGTATTGAGTTTTTATTAACTACGTAGATAAATAAGTGAATTTTGATATTTTGATTGGTGGTTTCAACAGGTGCCACTAGGCCGATCAGTAACTAATAGGTTTGTTTTGTTACAGAATTCCAAAATAAAAAGACGTCTTCATTTGAGTCAATTAACAAGTCATGACGCTTACGATTTACTAGCGGATATCCTATCGGAGGGATCTGATGTATCCGATTTTGATAAAAACGAGGATGAAAATTTTGATATGACTTTGAAGTCAGCTGTTTTAGATAAACAAAACAATACTTCAGACAATGGAGATAATGAGCATGACAGTGATTGTGGTGACGACGAGGTATCAGCTGCTATTCTTAATAAGTTTAAATGGATCACCGATACAAATAATGCCGCTTAACTCCGTCCTTTCTTAGAAAACTTTGGATCAAATGTTCCTAATACTATAGAGACTCCTCTTGATTTTCTTTATCTTGTTTAGTAAGAACCTGTTGAATACACTTTTTTCCCAAACTAATTTATATGTAGTCCAAGAAAATAACAAAAAAAAACACTCCCATAATACTTGAAAAAATAAAGTGTTTTTTGGGAATAAACCTTTTGATGAATATAAAAAAGTTGCCCAGTTATAGAGATTTTTGGTCTGCAAATTTTGTTATCAGGGATCAGTTTATTTCTTCATATATGTCGCGACACAGATTTGGATGGTTGCTTACTCATCTTCGTATAAATCAAAATTCATTACAACCTAAGAAAGGTAATTTCTTAGGTTGTAATGAATAAGGAAAGAAGAACTTTCAACCACTTATAAAAACTCATTTTATCCCAGCAGGTAACAAACACTAGACGAATCGATGATACGGTTCAAAAGACGTTTACAAAATCCACAAGGAAAACAATTTCTGTAGCTGGCTGTATACCACGTATCACAAAAAAGAGGTTAGTCTTCGTAAATGGGTATATTTATTTAAAAAAACCCTTAAAAGGGCTACATCAAAAAAACAAACGTTTTCGGACTCAACAGTCCATCATCAGGTTTAATTTTAAAATTGCCAGGTTATAATGCCTGAGCCACCAAAATACCTGGGTAAAAACCCTTTAAATTACATATAGTTGTAAAAGATTATACATCATGTTGTAAAAAAACTGTGATGTTCAGTATGAAATTAAATATGACTTCAGTTAACATACATGGCTGAAGTGAGTTCCAGAGCCGAAGAGTAAACCTCTTCACACGGAGAACAGCTGGTAACTGGAAGTAGTTTACGCCAATATATGCCGATTAAGCCCATAAAAAGGGGATATAAGGTACGGCTGCATACTGATCGGTCAGGATATGTTTTGCAATTCCATATATACACCGGAAAAGTAAACGATGTAAGGGAATAAAAGATCTTACAAGGGATTTAGTTGGAAAAAATTATGAAGTTCATTTCGATAACTATTTTAATTCTGTTGCATTACAACGCCACTTGATAAAAGACAATATTTACTCATGTGGAACAACTTGAAAAGATAGAAAAGGTTTTCCAACTTAACTTACAAACAAAAAATTAAAAGGGGTGACTCAAACTGAAGAATAAGTGAAAACGGCGTGCCAGCTTTGCAATGGATGAATAAAAACCCATTCATTTTCTAAGCAATTTTCACAAACCTGAAGAAAATGTCACTGTGAAGAGGAAAGAAAGGGATAGGACATCATTGGAAATTAACTGCAAACAATTAATACAAGATTACAACAAATATATGTACTATATAGACAAGTCTCATATATTAGTATCTTGCTACGAATCGGTTAGAAAATCCAAAAAGTGGTGGCATATTTTTTTTCATTTTGTTGACCTAACTTATATATAATTGTCAAACAATTAACAACTGGTAGAAGTATGTCTTTGAAAGAATTTAAAATTGCTGTAGCCACCGGCTTGATTGGAGCAGACCCCCAAATGCCTAAATTTGGAAGAAGAAGCATGAACAAACCAAGCACCAGTAACAGGTTTAAAAAACAAGTTTCTCTAGAAATAAGAAGTGACAAAGTAGCCCATATGCCTCAGTATTGAGCCAAAGTACGTTGTACACAATGCAATACCAAGGCAACTCCTCGTCGTACAAGATAGCATTGTATTACATGTCAAGTAGGTTTATGTCTAACCAACAACTCATAGAACAAGTAGATGCATTCAAATACCTAGGGGTTACAATAGACAGAGAAGGTACCAGGCAGAATGAAATAACAGAAAGAATCAGTAGTGCTTCAAAAGTGTACCATAATCTTAGTAGAGCATTCATAGGTAAACCGGAAATCAGCAGAAGAACCAAAATGACAGTTTATAAGACAGTATTCCGACCAATCTTGATATATGGAAGCGAGAGCTGGGTTTTAACAAAGCAATTAAAAAGCAAGATACAAGCCATTGATATGAAATATCTAAGACGAGTCAAAGGAATAACACGACGAGACAAAATAAGAAATGAAGATGTTAGAGAAGAAACTGGGCACAGAATCAGTACTACATGCTATTGAAACACAACAAATAAAATGGTTTGGTCATTTGTGCAGAATGAGCGACAACCGACCCGTTAAGCAAGTCTGGAAGGCTAAAGTGAAAAGGTTTAAAATTAGAGGCAGATCACGGAAAACCTGGGATGACGAAGTAGGACAGATTTTGAAAAGTAGGGGATTGGAATGGTCAGAAGCTCAAAATAAGGCAAAAAACAAGAAAGAATGGACAAAATTCGTGCACAGAATAGAATAAATTTAATAGAATAAATATTTTCATTCGATTTGAGATGTAATGTATATCTGTAACCTGTAATTGTATTGTATTGTATTTACCTTACACCTTAGGGTAGAGAGGTTTTCGATTATATATATAATATATATATATATATATATATATATATATATATTTATATATATATATATATATATATAATATATATATATATATATATATATATATAGGTTTATGTCTATCTGAAAAAAAAAATTATTTTATTCCATTTTACACCAAACAAGTTTTTCGTTTGTGGCCTAGTGGTTCCACATGGAACCGCCTTTTTTGCACTAATTACAAAAATATAATATAAAAGCCTTTGATTTGTCTATGTTTTGTCATAACAGTGAGTAATTATAGGTTACAATATTGGTAATAATAATCATACTTATACGTTCAGTACACTTTTTATGGAGATCTTCTAAAAATGTTAGTCTGCTAGCACACATTTTTCATCAATATCAAACTTTTACTACACATTACTCCAAATAAAAGGTACATCAAACGAAATCAAGACGTACATGAATGACTAAGGCTCAACAGATTAGTCGGTACTAATTTTTGGCACAAAACACGCCTTTATTGGCATCTGTTAATTGACATAGCTGTTATAGTATTACCAACTTTAAAAACTGTGGGGAATTATGCGCAAATAATACCTCATAGCTTTGACTATGCGAAAAGAGTTTAAGCAAAATAAAAAATATTTGTAAATAACGTTTTACAGTTCCTAATTTTTTTTAACAATGACATACAGTGTAGCGATCATCGCACTATGAGTGTGATGAGTAATGTACTGAAAATTTTCCTAAGAATACTGCACTCGAGAATTTACAACAAAATAGAAGTACAACTAAGTGAAACACAATTTGGTTTCAGAAACAACCTTAGAAACAGAGAAGCACTCTTTAGTTTG